AAAGAGAAATAAGGTTCAGAAGAATGTGTAGAAGGGAAAACAAAGCTTCGGCGTAGACGTGGAAGCACCAGCCCGAGAGGAAATATAGAATTACAGCCGGAATCATTACATTCACTTTCGACCCAGGGGAGGCACGGTGGAGTAATGAAGACCAGATCATATTGAGGAATCGGAGATCCAACTTCGAATTCCAGTCGAACCCATTACGTTCACTTGCGTGCTAATACCTTTGAGAGGGCTATGAATCCTTTTTTCTCCCCCCCCCCACCAAGCTATGTGCAAAAAGCAAGGAGAGACCGGGTTCTATAGACTGGGATGGCAACTGGTCTACACCAGAATGAAATGTCACCCTACTGCGTCGGAAAAAAAAGTCTGCCTCGTCAGTCACACATCGAAAGATACATGATCGCCTAAGCGTGTATCACGCATGGTACATACCTAACTGACGATAAAGTACCCTTAAGAAAGGCATGAATCCACTTCCTCTTCACTGATATAGGTTAAATTGTAAAATTTGTATCTTGAAGAAATTGTTAATGCAATATTCACTCGCAAATGCATTTCTTACAAAGCAGAATTTCAATACTCCACAAAGGGCAATTTTTTTTCCTGGCTCGGGTATACGCGCTCGGGTCCCCACCTTAAAAAAGACCTTGTGTCACAACTCGTCATCGTGGGGAGACAGAGTAAATACCTTGTGTTCTTTCTGTTACCGTGGTTCGATTTTATTGAATCCTCTCGACATTAGTCCTATTGGAAGTTCTATTGGCTATGTTTGTAATTCTTTGGGTCCGGATGATTGACTTCAACATCCATATGCTGTCTCATTTCTTGCGTGTATCCTGGTCATTTCCTTTATAATTTGTTATTGCATGCTACGAAAGAATTCCTCTTCTGTCCCCGAATTGAGCATGAAGGGTTTAATTCCGTGGCCCTTGTTTCACTGCTCTTAGCTTGAAATTGGGCTTATTTTCTCTTGTACCAACTCTTCCAATAACATGTCGCCGCATTCGATGTTGGTCCCTCTTTATAGAACCATGACGTTGAAGATACAACCAAGTCAGCTCAATGCCTACTATTTCCCCTTCATTGTACACGCAAGAGAAATCGGATATCTTTTCTTCTGTATTTATCTGATTTAAAATAAAGTAATATGCCGCTCTGCTTCAGGAATCGGAGGGCCGAGTTCGAATTCCAGTCGAATCCATTACATTCACTTACGTGCTAATAACTTTGGAAAGGTATGAATCCTCTTCTGCTCTCCACCACCTATAGGTAAATAGCAGGTCAGACCGGGTTATATAGCATTGGATTACAACTGAGCTACTGCAGAAAGAAATGGCGACCTACTTCGGAAAAAATATCTGCCTCGTCATTCATGTATCGAAAGATGCATGATCGCCTAAGCGTGTATCCCGCATGGCACATAACTGATATTCACTTACGCGCAAATACTCTTGGGAAAGGTATGGGTCCTCTTATCCTCAACTATGAGTAAATAGCAGGACAAACCGGGTTCTATAGCCTTTGATGGAAACTGGTCTACTGCAGAAAGAAATGGCAATCTCCTGCGAGAAAAATCTGCCTCGTCAGTCATGTATCTTTCGATACATGATCGCCTAAGCGTGTATCACGCATTGCACATAACTGACTGAATGTGTCTTAGCGCAAAAACTGAAAACAACAAAAAAAAAAAGTTGTAATATTTTTACAAGGTATATTTGAATTTTATTCAAGTTGTTTTGCTATATATACTTTAGGTTTTATGGGATTATGGCTCTCGACACCTTCCTATCCTTTGAAATTCTTGGCATTGTCATTTTGCTTCCTCTGCCTGTCCTGCTATCTGTTTACACAAGCTCGTTAGTTATTTTACTCTATGCCTGTACGTCCTGTGAGTGTTAAATTTTCCAAGTCTTCCTTCCTCATGTTCCTAGAAATTTTAGCTACCTCGTTCGGGCTCTAAAGATAAGCGTCCATTTTCGTTACATTATTCTTAATACAACCTCATTATTCACATGTTCCGTTGTTCGTATTCTGAGAATCCTTCTGTAGAACCACATATTTGCTTCCTTTAGTCTCTTCATTTGTACGGGGATTGTGCATTGTTTTTTATTTCCATATAGGAGCTCACCTCCCTTCTTTGTTTCTAACGAGTTTTTTTATGATACTTAATACTTTTGCTAAGCTTTTGGAAAACATCTTTTATCTAATCCAATATCCCTTTGTATTTCGTTGCAACATTTTGCGTACACACTTAAAACAATTCCAGAATATTTAACTTTTTTATACTTCCAATTTTTAGCTCGCCTCCTGCGCTGTTTCGATTACTGACGACCATATATGTTATCTTCTTGCAATTGACAGTTAGTCCTTTCATCCTGGTATCTTTCAGTACATTTTCTAGGAGTTCCTGCAGTTATTTTGTGAAACCTTTCCACACTGTGTTATATTCATATCTAATGTTTTTAAGATTGTGTTCGTCAATCCCAGTAAAACTTCTAGATATCATATAATGTCTCTGATTTAAAGGTGGAATAAATGCAATGTGATACTTGTCTCAGTCCCCTTTCTATTTTTGGGTATTTACTCAGTTCATTTTATATCCATATACACAGGTTATGCGCCCAGGATAATTTTTAATTTATTCTTTCCGTCACGATTCAAGTTTTCCTAGCAGTTTAAATAAATCATACAGCCAAAATTTATTTTCAGTAGTGACAAAATAATACTTTTAAAATGTAGTAAAATAATTATCTGCAACTGTTGTGGCCATGTAAATAGTTAAAGAAATAACAGAAGTGTTATAGATATATCATATATTAAACAATAAGTACAACAGAAGTGTATTACACGACTAGTGGGTGTGTGTCTGCTGACACAGCGTTCAATCTATTCGACTGTTATATTTACCAGCCTCCCCACGAGGTGGGATATGTCACAAAGCCGAGTTTAATGTGGGGGAATCCGAGCTCGTAGGCTCGGCCAAAAATTCCCCGTAGACCCCGTATAAAACGGGGTCGGGTAGCTGTTTCCCGAGACGAGACTGCCCTTCGACAGAGCCTCGTCTGAGGATCCTCTCTACCCGGAGGCAGAGAGTTTGACCAGCACGGCTAGAACAGTTCTATTCGAATGTTACCCCCAAGACCTTCTTTCCTACTAATGATTATAGTAGGCGGAAGAGTCCAACAGACTCTTTAGAGGGAGGACACCACAACAGTAACAGTAAGACACGCGTACTTATCAGTTAAAGATTTTTCGTCTTGGTGACGATGACTCTTACAGAAGACCTACCAGTAACTCGCCGATTAGTGACTCTTTGGGATCTCCATGACAAGAAACGTCAGCTTTGTGAATAGAACACTTTTTAATAAAAATAATTTCCTTTGGCAATGACAAAATTATGGCCATAATAAATGAAATATACGATAGTGGTGAAATACCGGAAAACGTAAGTAGATCCATTTTCCTAGTGCTGGACAATCTCTTTATGGATGAAAAAAAAAAACCTGAGGCAACACAAATGTGGATCTACTGAAGAATTCCATGGAATGAACCTGTGTGCAACGTTAAAAAATTATTCAATTGGACTTGCATACTGAATCAGAAAATACAGTTGAAATTTCAAGGGTACATAATATGGAAAGTGGACTTAGAAAATGTATATAATACTTATAATAAAATTACACCAAGAAACACTCGAAATTTCCCTATAAACACAGACAATAATAATCATAATCATAATAATTAAATAAAGCGAAAACACAGCCATCCATATACGTCTAAATTTTTCGATGCACAAATTTTTGCTCAAACATTGAATTTAACCCAGCATTAATTGCGTACATCTAATGCACGTACCGACACCAGATACTTCCACAAGGCCAATTAGAAATTTGATACACATACATATTTTCAGTTTAATATCAGCTACTATCTTCAGGAATTAAACACAGGACAGACTAGAGAACGGTACAAAATTGTCCGCTAGAATTCAGACGTACACTAATACAAGGCATAAACACGCGAGACCTACATTACTAATGATATACAAAACAAAAAAAAAAACAAAAAACCAACAATTATTTACATTATTTGGACTCATTTATCCTCATCTTTGTCGCCATATTTATTACAACGTTTCGGCCGTTGTACGCTCCGGCCTTCTTCAGGTGGTTGGAAAATTGAACTGAACCCTTAATTTCGCTCACTGGGGTAGACTGTTCTAGTCCCAGGTGCCATGTTCGATGGATGTCAGTTATCAGTTATCTCCTGTTAATTTTCCCTCTGAAAGTTCTCCACTGCCTTAACCGGGTATTGAAATCATACTGTTTGGGTCCTGTCACTGGATGTAACCAACGCCTTAATCCACTGTGCCATGTCTCCTTGAGGACGTGGAAGTAGAACAGTCTACCACAGTGAGCGAAATAAAGGGTTCAGTTCGACATTCCAAACACCTGAAGAAGGCCAGAGCGTACAACGGCCGAAACGTTGTGATAAATATGGCGACAAAGATGAGGACAATAGTCCGAATAATGTAAATCATGTACATAATACCTCATCTCAGAAATATAGACAAAAAAAAAATAGACAAAAACAACAAAGAATTGAAATGAACCTGAAAATTCTCTTCCTAATGAAACATAAATGGAAGCGAAATATATTAAATGTATAAAGGTTTCTTATTCGTTCCTCATATATATATATATTATCTCTCTCTCTCTCTATATATATATATATTCTCATTCTAGTTTTAAGTAGATTCCTTCCAATCCATTCATTGAAATAGCGTGGAACATTAAAGTTTCCAGTCTTTCTGTCTCTCACCTTCACTACCTATCTATCTCTCTTCTTCAATGTCTCTTCTCTCTCTTATATATATATATATATATATATATATATATATATATAAATAATCACTTTTTATTTTTCTTCGTCTCTCTTTTCTTATCTTTTTTCTCTATTTCTCTCTTTTCTTCGCTATCTCTTTTTATCTTTATATGTTTATCTATCTCGTTTCATCTCTTTATATCTATCGTGTTTCTTCATCTCTATCCATTTATATCTCTATCTCTTTTCTTCTCTATCTATGCCTTTTCTTATCTATCTATGTCTTCTCTCTCTATGCCTTTTCTTATCTATCTATGTCTTCTCTATCTCTGCCTTTTCTTCTATATCTATCTATCTATCTCTGCCTTTTCTTCTATATCTATCTATCTATCTATCTCTGCCTTTTCTTCTATATCTATCTATCTATCTATCTCTGCCTTTTCTTCTATATCTATCTATCTATCTCTGCCTTTTCTTCTATATCTATCTATCTATCTATCTCTGCCTTTTCTTCTATATCTATCTATCTATCTATCTCTGCCTTTTCTTCTATATCTATCTATCTATCTATCTCTGCCTTTTCTTCTATATCTATCTATCTATCTATCTATCTGCCTTTTTCTTCTATATCTATCTATCTATCTATCTCTGCCTTTTCTTCTATATCTATCTATCTATCTATCTCTGCCTTTTCTTCTATATCTATCTATCTATCTATCTCTGCCTTTTCTTCTATATCTATCTATCTATCTCTGCCTTTTCTTCTATATCTATCTATCTATCTATGTCTTCTCTATCTATGCCTTTTCTTATCTATCTATCTATCCATCTATCTATCTCTTTATCCATATATGTCGGTCTATATCACTGTAATCATATTTCCACCTATCTCTCTTCAGATCTATAGCAATCTATCTGCCTATTCATTTTGGTCATATCTGTCTTATGTTCTGTCTGCCTGTCCGTCTGTCTGTAGTTAAGTATATAGTCTGAACTACAGAGCAAGTTAAGAATTGCCGTCAAAACTGAATTAACCTCAGTAGTCAAAAGTTTGGTCTATAAACCCGTGGCATGTCATTCTGATTGACAGGTGACATTCTCAAATTCTGCTCTCACAAGGGCATCGCAAATGTCAAATAAAAACGAATTGTATTCCCATCTCGACACTACAACCGATTTTATGAATCACTATATGAAATGTATGGAAATGCTTTACTAGTTGCAAACCGACTTTAAAGTGATAGTTTTGTTTAGTTAAATCAGGATCAAAATATAGTGTGTTTTCTTTTAATCAGTTTTAAAACTGCGTTTTCATTGTAACTATATTCTCAGTTCATGTGACGTATCCCTTCAGGATGCAGATAGTTGTGGCTCTCCACATCGTCTAATGAATTGTAGCTGAGCAACAGTAGTCATTTTGTCATTTACCCACCTACCATGTTCCGCCATGTATTTAAAAAAGCTATTTAGTTACGTGGCTCGATTCCTCTTTCTAAAAATTTTGAATTCGACATGTCCTGTGAGTATCAAATTCCCCATACCGACCCTCCTCATCATACATGCAAAACAGGATTCTGAGTATAGGTGACGTTTTTGTTTCTATTTACCTTCAGACTTCGTTGCTTACGGGCTCCGTTCATGGTATTCTAATCATCTTACTGTAGAACCATATTTCTGTTACTTCCAGTCTTCGTTTGATCTGTGAAGAGATTTTCCAGCGTTCACTGGTATATACAATGATTTACCGCGGGTCGGTAATGAGAAAACTTCTAAAATTTTAGTGTAATCTCTATCATTGCTAGAGATGTTTGAATTGAACATTTCAAGAAGCCAAATATGAAGAAACATATTTTTAATGTACTATTTTTCCTTTTTTGTGTGCCGTATCCCTTCAGGATGTAGGCGATTATGGCTCTCCTTAAGCTCTTGTTCTTTGTGGCCCCTAGTAAGTTTTTTTTTTCTTTTTGCTTTCCCGTCTAATCCCTGCTCTGTGCAACTTTTAAAATAACCGCTTTCCTATGTCTCATTTGCCTTCAGTATGTACTGTGAGTATCAAATTCTCCAATTTTTCTTTCCTCATTATGAAATTTCAGTTGTATCTTTTAGACTATAGCTCTAAGCATCCCTTTTGTCTTTCCTGATTATTCATATTTTTAATATGGTAATTTCTGCATTCATCTATAGAATCAAATTTCTGCTGCCTCGAGTTTTCTCATCTGTGATAAGAATGTCCAGCATTCACTGCTTTATTGGAAGAGTAATTTTACATAGCATGTCAATACACTTTTCTTTGTTTCTCACCAAATCAACCCGTCTTCTAATGCTTTCCTTAGCATTTGGAAAACAGGTTTCGTTGTTCAAATGCCCTCCTCCTTTAAAAAAAGAGATAAGTAATTATTTTAATGCCTTGCTTTTGGGGGTGCCAACTTGTAGCTAATCTCTTGGGGTGTTCCTGTTGTTGACAACCATATCTTACAGTTGGTGGATGGGCCTTTCTTTTCGCCTTCGTTTACTACCTTATTCAAGAATTCCTGTGGCCCTCAACACTGTCATCTGCATATTTTATGTTGTTAAGATGGTAGTCTGATAGGCTGAACATGCAAGTGATGGTCATACTCGCTTTGTGAGTCGACAGCCACTATTTAGACAGCATATATTCATTCAAATTTTTTTATTAAATAATATACATGTCATTTTTCTATTTATTTTTATAATAATCCTTTACTAATCAGGTTATTTGTGCTAAGCTTAAATTCATCAAACAGACCACCTAGTTTTCTCTTACCCTAATATTTTCAATGTCCTCCGAGATCATCCTCAGAGGTGTATTGCAAAAAAAAAAAAAAAAAAAAAAATTATTGTAACTATGCTCGATGTGATAGTGATTTTTGAAAACACGCGTCAACGAGCTGTAGTATAAGTATTTAAAAATTATCAGTTGTAGATACGGTGATTTTTCTCAAAACAAGCGATCACAGTGTCAATATGTTTGACTTTGTAATATACGGCTGAAGATGATCTCGGAGGAGATCGAAAGTACTTGGGTAAGAAAAAACTACGAGGACATGCTTGATGAATTTCAACACCAAGAAGCTGAGAAGAGAACTAGAAAAGAACATTATAAAAATAGACATAATATGTCTATATTATTTAATCTAACATTTGTCAATGAATACATACATATATATATATATATATATATATATATATATATATGCACACACGGTTCATTAAATAATATAGACAAGTGTTGACTATTTATTTTATGTAAATTCTTTTCATAACGTCTAATAAGTTTAATAACATTATCATTGAACGAAGAAAGAAATTCACAATATTGATCCATATTTTTCTTTAATACAATCTAAGCTTTCGGCTTACATAAGCCATTATCAAAGATGTCATTACAACATATTAAGCAATATACGGAGAAGCCAGTAATGACAGTCTGTGAATGTTTACATAGAGGATCTCTAAGCAACGATAAACACGTGCATATAAGACGCTAGAAGCGAAAATCGCACACCATCTCATGACGTCACACATGATTACGCGAGATACATACATACATACATACATATATATATATATATATGTACACATATATATACATACATATATATACATGCATACATACATATATATATATATATACACACACACATGCATACATATATATATATATATATACACACACACATGCATACATATATACATGCATACATATATACATGCATACATATATACATGCATACATATAATTGAATTCTATTTTTCCAGGTTTTCAGGTAAGAAGTTTAGCCATCTTGACACCATTTTTCGTGAGAAACATTAAAAACATCAGTTATTCAGCTAAAAAGAGAACATGTTAAAATTGTTTTAAGTTAGACCACTGTCTTCCCAACTGGGCATTGATGAGAGGAAAAAAAAGTTAATTTTGGCCTTCAGTAATCGTACTAAGATTTATTCTCTTTCTTCCATCATCGAAGTCCATCAAAAACGGAGAACGGCGAATAAGATTAAAAAGGAGTGAACAGTAGATAGTGAATATGGATCAGGAGATCACAACAGGAAGCGGAGTAATCCTTTCAACTTAGAACAAAATAGATCAATTAGAAAAGATCCAACTCAATACATAAGTTGTTCGGCTCGTGAGAGAAGAGTTTCACCTATGAAGGTCCAAAGAGCAGTTGAAAAAAAACTTGAAAATGAAATCGTACGTGAAAACTGTGAGGTACGTTGTTACAGAGAGGATGTCAGAAGGTTAGCGAGGGCGAAAATCATCTTGAATAAGGTGGAACATGAAGTGGGATATATATATATATATATATATATATATATATATATATATATATATATATATATATATGTTTGAACTTTATTTCAATCATGCATGAGCTTCCGATCCTTAGCTACAAATATTTATATTGAACATGTCATTTTCGTTTATGATTGACTTCATCACTTTTTCTGTTAACCTTGGAGAGTAATTTTACATTCTTATTGATCAAAGAAGTGTCCAACAAAAAAAATCTCGTAGAATTCCAGTATGATATCATTAATTATTTCAAAGATGCAACGGTTCAAATCTTAATCTAACAAATGAAAAATATTTTTTACTCGACTTGTACAATTTTGCATCCCGTATATATATATATATATGTATATATATATATATATATATATATATGTATATTATAGTAAAAAAGGAAGGTATTTCAAAATTCACTTGAAGATGAAACAGAACTTATGCTTTTAATTTCATATAATTGAATTTGAAGTTTTTGTTTTCTATTTTTGAAACATGGTAATTCCTGTGTAGCGATGAAACCATATTTTTACATCGGTTAATATATATATATATATATATATATATATATATATATACAATCGATTTCACCCCAAGTAAGGCAATAAAGCCACTAAGACACAAGAGGTTGCTGGATGTTGAAAAAAATCGTAACAGACGCATTATTAATGAACAGGAAGATAAAAGTGGAATCAAGAGGACACTGTATAGCGATTGACATTGCATTGCTATTTTGAAAAATTAAAGATGGCTGCAAACCATGGAGCCAGAAGGGAGTTCTTCAAGCGAAAAGTTAGAGAAGACAAACTGTTAGAATAGAATTTACAGCTGAACTGTAGTTTGATTAGTTTCTGTCTACAAAAATCTAGTAGTGCACTTAAATTCATAAAGTCTCGCGACATAATGAAAGCAAACCCGAACACTTACCATGAAAGTATTCATAGAAAGAATACATGGATGCAAGCTTATGGTGATGGGAAAATGACTGAACTCGATATATATATATATATATATATTTTTTTTTTTTTTGAACAATAGAAAAATATTAAAAAATTAAAATCTTCAGACACACTGGGTTGTAGATTAATATTCTTTCGTTTTTTTTTTTTATTATTTCATTTAGATTCCTCGATTAGTTTCAGCCAAAATGGCCAATCATCGGGAGAAGAAATATTTCTGCTTGTTGGTAGCAGTAAACTACAGAAATGAATGTCTTATATATATATATATATATATATATATATATATGTGTGTGTGTGTGTGTGTGTGTGTTTTGTAGGGTAGAACTCAGCGTTTTTAATGTTGCTTCTCTTCGTAATAGCCGAGGATTAGGAAGGCCATAGTTAGAGTATCGAAGGAACCGGTAAAGGAAACAAAGATGCGGCTTATTAAATTGCCATACCTAGTACGGAAAAACTTGTGCAAATCAAATTCTACTCAAATCCTACTCTAATGTGGCTACTTGACATATTTATAAGTAAGTGTAGTCTATTATCAAAGTAGTAGACAAGAAGTACGCTGGATCCTACTCTACAACAATATAGGCGGGTGTGTGAGAGAACCCATTTCAAAATTGTAGAAAAATGACAGATTTCTTAAACACAGAAATTAGCGCATTTTTGTCTACGGACCATCGTCAAATATTTAATTTTTGTATTGGTATATATTAAC